TCCCGGATCAATACCTATAGATATCAAAAGCATTCTGGATAATCGCGATCCACTGGGATCATCATTACTCTTGTTACCTCAACAGTTTTACAGACATGGTATTTTTTTTTTTTTTTACTGATAGCCTTTGTGTTATATTTCCTAAACCTTGCTCCGCCTTCTATTTACTCAAGCTCGCTTGGCAGGGGATACGTTTCTTTGCTCTGTCCCTCTTGAATTCAATCTGTCCTGTGAGTATCAAATTTACCAAGCCTTCTTTCCTCATTATGTGCTCTAGAAACTTCAACCGTCTCTTCCTAATGTTAAGTATGCATCCTTTTTGTTTCCATATTCTCTAAAACTTCGGAATTATTCACATGTTCGGCCCATGTTATCCTCAACATCCTTCTGTAGAACCACGTTTCTGTTGCTTTAAGTCTCTTCTTCATCTATGAGGAGATTGTCCAGCATTCACTGCCATATAGGAGGACTGATATTACATAACTGTTCAATACTTTTTTTTTTTTTGGTTCTAATGATTTTTTTCCTGTTTCTTGATACTTTGCTTAGCTTTTGGAAAGCATTTTTCGCTATCCCAGTGCACCTTACGATAGACAATAATATAAAAGGAGGGTTTATTCTCTGCCTGTGTATTTGTTTAGAACATGCTTTGTGATTTGGACCAACGTGCTCATTTTCATTATTACATCCGCAACGTTTCGGCCGTCATACCCTTCGGCCTTCTTAAGAATCTGTCGACGTATTCGGCAACTTTCTCTGAATTTTGAAGCGAACACTTTATTCATTAGAAGGTAATAGATTGTTGTTTCGTTTTCCATGTTTAAAGGATATTTTATATGAGTTTTAATGCCATGTCCCTTTATAACGTAGACGAACTTTTTTTTTCGTAATGTTTTAGGTGATGCTGTCTTATCTAAATCCTTTCACTCCAAGCAAGGCAATAAAGCCACTAAGACGGGAGGTATTACTAAATGTTTGAGAATATGAGGAGAAAAAAACACTATTCAGGAGAGAGGACAATAAAAGAACAGGGATTAAGAAAAAAGAAGATAGCAATTGACATTGCATTTAAATTTTTGAAGTTCAAAGTTAACTGGGAAGTAAGAAGCTGGAAGAAAGTTCCACAAGCAAGAAGTGCGATAGAAAAAAAAATCAATTAGCATAGAACTTATGGTCACATCTTGCCATTTCAACTATAAAATGATGAGACCTTGCTGCCAATCTAGTACTGCGCTTAAATTAATAAAGTCTAGGTACCACAGAGGAAAGTTCTTCAGAATAATTACTGTGAAATTATTTATAGAAAAGGCACAGGGAAGCTACATTACGGCAGTGGGAAAATGACTGAAGCCGAGATGCCATGTCAGGAACAATATTATTACAGATTCTTTTTTTGATTTTATCAAAAATCTCTAATGTGCCAGCAATATTCAAAGAATCTCTAAATATATAACAGGAACATCAGATGAGATGTGGCAGCAATATTCAAAGGAAGGACGCATGATAGATTTATAAATATGTAAGATAGATTCCGAAGAGAAAAATTGTCTAGTATGACACAGTGAACCAACTTTCTTAGCTACAGACTTTGCAATTGATTCAATATATACCCTTTCCACTTCATGTGAGCTGAAAACGTTTTCGAGAAGGCACAACGAGTCATCCTCCTGGGAGTGAGGGTAGCATCAGCCATTCTGATAGAAAGTAAAAAAAAGGTTCTCTCAGATTATTAAAAGAGAGCAGTTTCGTTTTTGAAGCGTTAAAATTAACAAGCAAGGGAATCAGGGAAGCAAGAAATCGGAATGGAGTTCCACAGGTGGGAAATGCGAGAAAAGAAAGAGTAGAAGTGACGATTGCAAAGTTCATCGAAACAATTATCATGAAAGTATATATCCAAACGGCAGTGGTTGGAAAGTAACTGAAGCCGAGATACCAGGTCAGGATCAATAACATTGCAGATTCTTCTTTTGATTTTATCAAAGGTCTCTAAATATACAGCGGGTGCACCAGACCAGATGGGACAGCAATATTCAAAGGAAGGACAAATGGCAGACTTATAAATATGTAAAATAGATTCTGGCGAGATAAATTGTCAAGCACGACGTAGTGAACTAACTTTCTTAGCTGCCGATTTAGCAATTGATACAATATACTCTTTCCAGTTCAGGTCAGCGGAAAACCTTAGTCCAAGAAGAAATTAAGGCGTCACGCCTCAACTATGGCCAGTACTAAAAACATTTACATAGATTTTTTTTTCTCTATTTATTTCCGAATTCCTATGCTTTCTTCCCAGAGATAGAAGAGTGTTTTTACTTTTGCTTTTTCACTTTTTTAAATACAGATTGGCTTTTCTCACTTTTCAAGACAATCATAACTCTCTCTTCCTTGTGTGTTCATAACTCCACACACTCCTTTCCCGAATATTTATGAATTGCTATGATTACTCCGGAAAGATAATAGATTGATTTTCATTTCAGAGTATTCCTTCTCCTATATTAGCTGCCATCCAGTGCTCGAGAGATCAGTTTATTCTGCTATTTAACTAACGGGGGGAGGGGAGTAGGAAAGATGAATTCATGACTTTTCCCAGAACATTTGTGAAAAAGTAAACGCACCAGACTAGAGGAGAATTAGAACTCGGCCCTACCGTTCCACTTTCCCTCCCAAATAACTGACACGCATCCCGAATTTATACTTACAAGTTTTATTTAACTTTAAGTCGCTTGTTCGTTTTTACCCCTGTACCAGTGCATATTTTTGTTTTTAATCAATTCACCCCCAAGTAAGGCGATAATGCTGCTAAGACGCAACGGGCTATTGGGCGTGAAAGAGAATGAAAAGAAGGAACCAGAAACCTAATCCTAAACAGGAGACAATGCATAAACATCTACTCTCGTTAAAAAAGACAGAGGAGGATTTTGAACCGGACGATATGCAAACCTATGTACTCCTATTGAGGAAAAAATTAAAAGTAAATAAAATTAAATTTTTCAATACTACCAGACCTAGGATTTGAACTCACAACCGTCAGTAAATCTAATCCTTTAATCTTCTTCAGGCCACGTGTATTAAACTGGATTAAGCGACCAAATAGTAAAAAGCATGCAATGATTCTTCATCTCAATTATTCCGACGAGAGATTTCTTGCTTGTATGCTTTTTGTACTGACCATAGTTGAGGCGTCACGCCTCCATCTGTAATATCAATTAGGAATTCTTTTTTTATTTGTTGTTGTTCAATCAATATTGATTCTAGATTATAACCTACACAATTCCTTGCACTGTCAAATTAAATTTCTGCTTAAATCAAAGAGTCAAGCGCTAATATTTCTTGTCAGTTATAAACATAAGAAAAAAATTATGCTGACCTGCACCAGTAAAAAAAAAACACCAATAACAACCCTTTCCCCATTAAAAAAAATCAGAAAAACAAAAACAAACAAAACGAATAAAAAAACAAACATTCCTTGTTCACCAAAAAAAAAAAAAAAAAAATGTCCATGCATTGAATATTGCTGCCATATCTGGTCTGGTTATCCTATTATATTTCTTGAGATGCAAAATCCAAAGAAGGATCTGTAATATAATCGATCCAGACAGCATCTCGACTTCAATCATTTTCCAACTAACGTGGCGTTGATTTCCTCTGTTTTCTATTTGTGTTTTCGCGGGGTTTTTTGGGTTTTTTTTTTTGTTACAGTGAGGTTCAGTAAGAAGCACAGTTTATACGGATATGTAACGTTTAAGCCTAGACTTGAACAGGTTAAAATTGTTCCTTTTGGGAGTTGGTTCCACAGAGCAGGGGTACCGGGTAGAAGCAGTTAGAGTGGAACTTACTTCTCAGCAATAGAATACGGAGAAAATGGGGGGTGATTCGCTACAGTGGGCGTGGCCTGGTGGGTCCTAGCCGTGAAGGTTAGAACTGGTGGAACTAAGGAATGTAGTTTGTCTGAGCACTTTCCATGAGAGTAGTCGTAGAACATTAAGAAGTTTGCGATGTTTTGTCTGTGAGAAAAGGCGTTTGTCGAGTGGAAAATGTATATTCATCACCCACAAGGACGCATAAACACTTTTGGAGAGTATCGAGACTAGAAAGTGAGAACAGGGCAGCTTCTGCCCAAATATGGCAGCAGTACCCCATTTTAGGCCTGATTTAAAATTTAGGCTTGTAAAGTTAGATGATAGCACGAGGAGTCAGGTACTTACTGGAGCCGTACAGGGAACCGACCATTTTTCCTGCGTCTTTAGCGACGGATCGTATGTAGGCGTTCCACTTGAGTTTAAGACCCAATATTCGCTCAAAGCACGGAGCCACTCAGAGGGAATATCAATTTAGTGTTGACTGGTTCACCGTGTTGTCCCGGTCTCACTCCTTATTTCATTTAAAGGTTCTGGAGGCACTTTACATCGGGTCCCGTAAGCCTTCTTTGTGCAAACAGCGTGAGTGTTTGTTGGGACTCGCTGTCATTTGTTTCTAGTTTTTTTTATATATATATATATATATATATATATATATATATATATATATATATATATACACACAATTTTATACATATACTAGACTAGCCGTGAACCGTTAAGTCAATGACGGTTCAGGTTATAAAACATTGAAATTGATTTCAACATTCAAAAAAAATTGTCTGTTTGAAGAAAGTTGAAATAAAAATACTGCATAAACAACTCGTATATTTTAAAATCTTATTCACTTAAAATATTATTAAATCAGATAAACTTAAAAATATTTTTAATTTGTCCAAAAATCTTTGTGTCTGTTTTTAACTTATAAATATTTTTATTTAAAAAAATTCTGTTTGAAGAAAGTTAAAATAAAAAACTGTATAAACAAGTCGTATTTTTAAATCTTATTCACTTAAATAAGATTAACTTAAATCATTACGTTCGCCGGATGGGTGCAGCAAACAAACATGCACGCAATGACAGACTTTCAGCATTATATAGATATTATATAGATAGATGAACAGGTAGAGGAAGTTTCCAATT